GTTGTATGCCTGTGAAACCTGGACAGTATACCAGCACCAAGCCAGGAAACCGAATTGCTTCCATTTGAATTGTCTTAGGAAGATTCTGAAGATCACCTGGCAGGAGAAGATACCAAGTTCCTTTCTCAAATTAAAATGCCAAGCATTCAAACTCTACTGCAGAGAGAGCAACTCTGATGGGCTGGCCACGTTGTTTGAATGTCAAACATACGCTTGCCAAAAAGACCATTTTATGGAGAAGTCACACAGGGCAAGTGTTCACATATTGGTCAGAAGAAGCTATACAAAGACATTCTCAAGGTCTCTCTTAAGAACTTTGAAATTGATTGTGTGACAGGGGAGACACTGGCACAGGACTGCCTGGCATAGCATGCCCTCACCAGAGAAGGTGCTGTGCTCTGTGAGCAAAGCGGAATTAAGGTAGCTCAAGAGAAACACAAGATGTGCAAATTTAGAGAATCCACCCTAAAGGTTCACACGGGCTATCTGTGCCCAACCTGTGGTATAGCTTTCAGAGCTCACATTGGTCTGATGAGCCATAGTGGGACACACTGTAACTTGACTCCAGCACAGTGATGTCATTTTGGTCTTGCTTGAGAATGAAGGACCACCACCACAACCACACAAGGGTTCATATGATGAGGCATGCTTATTAGGTATAGGTTCTGTATTTTAATAGCTTAAAGAAGATATGTAAATTCAATGTGTATTTCAAAGTTTTATTTGCCCGGTCTACCAATACTGAATTAAAGAAGTTTTATTGTAGTGCACTGTATTTAGCAAATAGCTATGTATTACACAAATGTATTAACTTCTTAAAATAAAAAGTAGCTTAATGATTTTGTCAGAGTACTACTTGTGAGAAAACTGAGACAGAAAGATGACAGATTACTACTTGGTAAAAGTTTCTAACTGTATTCTTTCCAAAGTCAGCTAAGAAATATTTTTTTACCAATCTACTAAAGCCACTATATTTAAGAGAGATCTATGGTTAGACTGCTAGAAAACTGTATTACATGGCTACATAAAATAAAAATAATTTAAACTTTTCTGTACTGAAAGTACCTCAATGTTTAGGGCACCCTATCTGGCATAAGGAAAGCCATTTCTTTAAGAAGCCATAATGTTTCAGATCATCAAAGAATCCACACAAAACAAAATAGAATTCTCGATGTCTGTCTTCTCTATAATGGGCTCAGTATTAAGAAGAAATTTCTTTATGCCTGTACGGTCCCATTTTAAAACAGCATTGTAGACGACCACACCAATAAGTGAACTGAACAATTATAACAAGTCATTTAGGGCTTTACAGAGCACTTTCAGTACATTAGTTCAATCAATCTTCTCAACAACTCTGTGAGACAGGCAGGATGACATTATTATTTACTTCTTTGCAGATGAGGAAAATGAACCCCAGAGAAGTGAAGGGATTCTCCTAAAGTCAGTTACATAACACAAAAGCTCAGAACATTTTACTTTAAATCCAGTATTCTTTTTACTGTGCTACCCCTGAAATTCTGGAAGATAGCCTTTACTGTAATCATGTTGGACTAGAGAGACTTTTCTGTGGCATCACCAAAACACCCTGAAATTAAGATAGACTCAATCAACATATATTTGTTGTGTCTCTGTTATCTCTGTGTCATGGTGATCTGATAGTCCATGAGGATAAAAGCTGTGGGAGCTGAGGCAGAAGAGCTTGCCATAGGTTGGGGAGATAGGACATGAATCAAAAGGGGATTATAATAATAGTTCCCATTAATGGAGCTCTTTAGAATTTACAAAATACTTTTCTTACAAAGTGCTTTCCTTCTCCGTGGTATTTAGAGAAAATATTAGCATATTCATTTCACAGATTAGGAAAGTGGGGTTCAGAGAAATAAGTTTAGTCACATAGCAAGTAAGACTCAAAGCTGAGTTTCCTGGGTTCTAATTTTAGTTTTCTTTCTACTACTGTCATGCAGCCTCTCAAAATGAGACACACATTTGTGTGTATAAATATACAGATGTCTTTTGAGCGCTAAGTTGTATGATGCAGATTACATTAGTTAACAGGAACTCAAAGAAGGGAGATATTACTGGAGGTTGGATTAGCTAGGGAAGCTCCACAAAGGAGATGGATCATGAAAGAACAGTATGAATTTAGAGAAAAGAAAGAGATGAACAATGCAAGCAGTGGGCACAGTGATAACAATGGTAGAGATATAAGAATACATACATATACACACACACATATATAGGTATGTGTGTGTGTGTATATATATGTATATATATGTATGTGTATATATATATATATGCATATATACGTGTGTGTGTGTGTGTGTGTGTGTGTGTGCACAGACAGATAGACAGAAATAAAATTCTGGGACCAGAATTTTGGGAGCAGAAAGTCTGACTAGGGATAAAGCCTGGTCAGGAAGAATGGAAGATAATATGGGGAAGGTAGGTTGTGGAGGCTTTTCAATAGAAGATAAGAATATAAATTTTATCTTCTAGATTAAAGAGAGCTACTGAAGGGTTTTAAACAGGGGCAATGACAGGATGAAAGCATATATCTAGAAAACATAAAAGGATGTGACTTGTAGTGTTGTGAACTGTGTTGCTATACTAGGAAACTCTTCCATTATTGAAAACTTATTTGAATCACTGAAGGCCCACTTCAGAATTCCAAGGAAAACAATTCATGGATTAAAAGCTAAGTACAATATGTTAACAATTAAGTGAGATAACATCATGGCAGAGTCAAAGATCTAGTCCTCCCCAATACAGCTTTAAGTCTGTAGAAGGAATTGCTTGTATCATATTCCAAGTTATTTTCTATTTTGTTTTGTTTTGCTTTGCTTTTTTGCATAGGAAGAGAAAGCATGCAAGAAGGTCAAAAGGATTTGGTGCTGTCTACTCTTGAATAAGACAAATTATTGAGGAGAGAGTGTAAGGAAGATCTGCTGGAAACAACATAAGCCCAGGAATGGGTCTCATGTTACTATGGCTTGCTTCTTCTGCTATGAAACCAACAAATGAAGGTGTTCGTTCAGTTGGGAAAGAGACTCCCACCAGCACATTTTGTACAAGTTTCCGGTCCATACCTCCCACTGCTGCTTTATTTACTGCAGCTGGCTAAAGTTTTATAGCCTGTTTCGTGTATTAAAATTCAAATGTGGAAAACATTACCAGTATCCTCCTTGAATATTTTGGGGGGAATTTTTTTTTCTTTAACTTCCTTTTCAGTGTGGAATGTATGAAGTGGTCAAAGGCTAACTTCAGACTGACTATATTCAAAAACTATTTCCTTTGTTCTTATGTTTTTGCTTGAAAATTCAGACCAGTTTTTACAAAGTAAAATACCAAATCTGTTGCTTTTACAGAAGTTACGGATTCATATAATGACTAACACTATTTCTGAGGACTAGCGGGAAGGAAAAAAGAACACTGCCGAATACAACTGCTTTAAAGAGCAAACTGTTGTCACTGGGCTGCATCTCTGGAGGGACACTGCCCCATCTACTTGGATCTGCAATTATCCTCTCATTGGATTACAAATATCTTCAGAGAAGTGAACAGGAACAGGAAAGGAACAGCAAAATGATAAGCACTCCTGCCTCTGCTGACATGCTTCATAATTAAATAAAATAGAATACTGGAAAATATAGGCACATGGCTAGATATATTTTCTTTTTCTTCTTGGTGCTGATGATGTCCCATCCTCTGTCTTTCTGGACCCCGTGTTCTAGTTATTCCTCCTTCTTACCTCTCACGGATACACAAATAAGAAGGCAATCCAGAGACCAAATATTTCCAACATGCACAATGTAATTTATTATTTTAAAGATCAACTTCACCTACAACTGGTATTTAAGGAGAAACTTTACATATTTATGGAACAAACTGTCTCTGAAGTGATGCCCTGGATGCATGTTGCATCAGTTTAACATATGCAAAGCAAACACAGTTACAAAAATTAAATTCTTTTTCTCTCGATTGAGAGCAGATATGCAGAAATGGTTGTAAGTCACAGATCTGGCTTTTAATAAAGCCAGATTTCTTCATTAAAAGCAGTATTGTTTAAACATTGGAGGGGAAAAAGGAGCTTTGTACAAACGAAAAATCTTGCATCCCAAGAGTACTTAACACATTACCTGAGGCCAAGCTAAATTACAATCTAGAATTTCCTTTTGTGAATTCTCAGCAACTGCCATGGACAAACAAGCAATTACTCCAAGATGATTTTATTGGGGAGATGTCAGGGGAAGGAAAAAAAAGAGAGATTTAGCTCTGATACTCAAAAGCATATTTTTACAGTTTAATTGAAGTGAATTGAGTCAGTTGTCACTATTTAGAAATTAGCATACTTTTGTTTCCTATAAATGACTTCCACCATGTTGTGGCTCTTGAAAATACTTCATTCAGGACAGAAATACTTTTTAATATTTTTATTAAGAAACTTAAGAAAAAGCAATAGATGAAAAAAAGAATAACTTAAGAATTTGTACTTATTTTGTATATTCTTTTTCCCCTCTCATTTTTTTTCTCCTTAGCTAAATCAAATTCACCAACTATAAAAGTCACATAACTTTTTTCAGGCATAGTTAGCAACTGTAAAAAGAAACTAAACACATTTTTGTGATTCACTGCATCACCATCAGCTCAAGATGACATTCTTTTCTTCATATCACTTAATTGGGAAAAATAAAAGTTTCACCTATAAACCCAACAAATATATCATACCAACAGAGAAATCTTCAGATATAACTGGAGATAGAACTATAGATCCATACAATTACCTCAATGAAGAAACTCAGTGAGTTTCTAATAAAATAAAATAAAATGAACAAAAACCAACTATATGTGAAAGAACAGCAAATAAGCCTCATCTTAGATAGGACTCCAAGCTGAAGTGATAAGAGCAAACATTAAAGAGAAAAAAGGTTATATGCCACCCAAATGCCTAATTGCATGAAATAGTTTTAAAGTTTGTATGATGGGTAAATATCAAAACTTACCATGAGTGAATGCCTGTTGGCTGAAAGAAGACCTGTCCCATATCCTGATCCAAGACCACCCATGGCACCATTATGAGAAGGTCCTATTAATCCATGCATATCACTATGACCACTAGACATAGCTGTTGAAGGCCCAACTGCATGGTTCCGGAGAACATGAATGGCATCATCCAGTCTTTCCAAGCGATCTTCAATTCGGCTTTGCTGCAAGTTTATGAGAAAGAAGAGAAAGATCAATTTATGATGAAACAGAAATTCAACCTGAAGATGGAGGTTACAATGTAAGTTGGGAAAGGGGGACTTTGAGAGTTTATAACTGAATGCAGCACCCTGCTACATTCTTTCTTCATAGAAGTCAGTATCCCTTAGAATAAGAATTAACATAAAAAAATCTTCATTCCAGAAAACTGATGAGAAACGCTACCAACATTGTAGTTTCATTTTCGTGAATAAAAATAGATTCAATCATTCTTCAGGGACATAAACTGTACTTATGTTATACCACACTGCATTATCTTTAAAGAGACTTTAGAGTTACTTTGGAAAATGAAAACATGCATTTTAATTTTAGGAGTACTCTGGCAGGGAACATTTACAGACTCCAATAAATCTATGATAGAAAAGATCACTGCTTCATGTATGTGCATAGGTCTTATCTACCCAAATTAAATGATCCATAAAAGCAAGAGTAGTGCCCTCTCTCCATTTATACTGTACCACATCCAGTCCGTATAAAGTAGGTGATTAGTAAGTATATACTGAGTTGAATGAATGACTCAATCTGTCAGCCAAATTCTTTTGCCAATCTATTACTAAGTTCTGTCCACTTATGTCTGACTTTGTTCTTCAACTATCCTAAGTTCCATCTTCATTCTGATATGAAATGTCTTAGAGATTTAGTTTCTTTAAGGGCCCCAAATTTTAGTTTTGTAGAAAAAATTGCTTACCATATGCACATTTTTACTCCCAAGAAAATGCTGGAAATGTAGGACAGAATAAAATATAAAGATAATGTAAAAGTTGCCCCTGCTTAGACAATCCACAAATTTAAGTTTGCTGAGTATAGAGGCCTCCAATTCATGGTTGTGTACCATGATTGTGATTGCAGATATAACCTGGAAACAGATTTCCATGCAGGTTTGGGAAAGTAGAATTTTTTCAGGTAAAGGAATGTATTGGGACTACTTTAACTCAACCTGTATCACATGGAAAAACTGATCTCTACGGCCTATTACACAAAGAATTTTTACTGAAGTCTGACTGGAAAGATTGATGACTACTTTTGAAATGATCTATAATTACTTATCCAATAAAAGAACAATGACAGTCATAAATCATGGTATGTATAAACTAGTTCTTCTATCAATCCAAAAGCCTGTTACGGGCCAATCATTATGCTAGGTACCGGGTTTAAAGAAAAAAAAAAGAAATATTTCCTATCCTCTAGGGGCTTACATGCCATTGGTGAAAAAAACACGTGCATGTAGAAATATATACAAGATATATACAAAATAAATGCAACATGATTTTTTGGGTATCTGGGGGAAGGCATTACCAGCTGGGGCAATCAAGAGAGGCTTCATGGAAAAGGTGGCACTCAAGTTTTGAAGAAAACCAGCAGTTCTAAGAAGCGGAGGTAAAGAGGGAACACCTTACGGGCTTGGGATTCAGCTGGTGCAAAGGCACACAGAGAGAAGATTGAGTGTTGTGTATGAGGAACTGTAAGAAAATCAGTTTGGATGTATTTTAAAATGTGTCAAGGGGAGAGAGAATGTGGCCATGATTCATGGTTACAGGGAACTCCCAGCTGAGAAAACACCCTCAACAACACAAGGTGGCATCCTTTTTATAGCTTATTTGAGTTTCTTAAAGTGACTTGCTTGGAGTCACACAAAATGATCTTTCTAGAGTCAAGGCCATCTCTCTAACTGCTACTGCACCATGTTGATTATTGTATGAGTAGGAATCATACCTGAGACTGGCAAGGTAGGCTGGGGCCAGGACTCGAAGAACTTTGAATGCCAAATGGAGTAGTTTATATTTGATCCTACAGGTAACAAGGAAGCACTGGAGTTTATTGAGGAGGGTGGTCCCATGGTCATATTATGCTTTAGGAAAGTCACTTTGGCAGCTGTATGGGAAAATTCTCTTGAGGATGTGCATAGTATGTGCTGAAACACTTTAAGGTGCTTGCTTTCCCAGGAGCAATGAGAAATTCGAATGGTTTTGGGACACACCAAACGCACCATTAAGATATACCGGTGGATGTTTATTGAAAAGGGGGGAACCCTAGAGGCAAAGATAACCATGTATAGGTTACTGCAAGAATTCAGATGACAGGTGATGAGGACTTGGACTAGAGTGATGGCTGTGCATGTGGAAAGAAGTAGACAGATGCAAGAAGTGACGTGAAGGGAGATTGACCAAACTCAACAATTGATTCTACAGATGGGGTAAAGAAAGATGAGGAATTAAGGAAGACAGTAAGGCTGTAAACCTGAATGGCCCAAAGGACGGTGACGCCCTCCACAGAAAGAGGGAAGTTATCAAATGAGATGATGATGTAAAGCACTTGGCAAACCTTCTAGCACTACACATATAAATGTTGTTGTCGCTGTGGTTCAGTCAGTCAGTCATGTCTCACTATTCCTGACCCCATTTGGGGTTTTCTTGGCAGAGATACTGGAGTGGTTTTCCAGCTCCTTTGGTGCATGAGGAAGCTGAGACAAACAGTGTTATGTGACTTGCCCAGGGTCACACAGCTGATAAGTGCCTGAGGCCAGATTTGAACTCAGCTCTTTCTGATGACAGGTTCAGTGCTCTGTGTGCCACCTAGCTAATAATTGTTAGCTATAGAAAATGAAGGGGCAGAGAGGTTTGGAGAAAAGACAATAAATTCTTTTTTGGAAATGCTGACTTTTAGATGCCTATTGGAACATGGAGCTAGAGCTTAGGAGACAGACTAGGGTTGGAGAGAGAGATCTGGGAATCATCTGCTTAGAGATGACAATTAAACCCTGGAAGCTGATGAAGTCACCAAGTGAAAGGATGTAAACAGAGAGGAGGAGAAGTATAAGAACAGAAACTTTAGGCACAGCCACAGGTAAGGAATGTAGCATGGATGATGACCCAGTCAAGATGACTGAGAAGCAGTGGTCAGAGGAGTAGAAGGAGAACCAAGACCAGTGTCACAAAAACCCAGAGAAGAAAGATGGTGGTTAACAGAGACTAGCACTGTTGAGCAATCTTCCAAATCTCTAAGTAGGCGCTACAAACTTGATAGACTGTTCTAGAATATTTGGTTAAGTCTTCAAAAACTTTTCTTAAAATTTAAATCTTCAAAACGTTTTCTTATTCCGTTACAAACCCTTTTTCAGATTTGTAACATTTTGCTTGTTCTTCAGACATGTTTCATGCAAAATTGAAATAACTGAACTGGTAACATATACGTGGTATAATGGAAGCAGCGTTCAACTCAAGGGCCTGCATTCAAAAGCCAGGTCTTCTACTTAATGGCAGTGTGAAGATGGACAAGATATTTCACTTCTCTGAGCTTCAGTTGACTCATCTGTGAAATGCAGATGATAATATTCCCATACCTTATCTCACAGGGCTATTCAAAGGAAAATGTTTGATAAATCCTAAAGTGTCGGTTCATATTATTATCTACGTAAGAACAGAACATAAGAACATTGCATTTAGGTGTACAACATATTCTCCATCACCAACTGTCCACACGCTGTAGCAAGGGACATGTCAAAGGAAGAAAAATAGAAAATGAACAAAATACTTTCCTTTTATATTTTGGGTTTTTCTTTTAAATTTTCTTTAAAAAGATCATTTCAAGTGCAATGAAAGTCCCTAATAAATACACGCAAATACATGAAGAAAGGTACTAAAACACAGACAAGATAAATCTTCTATGTATGGATAGTCAGTGTGAACCTTCTTCTCAGTGTTAATCCCAAGACTTGGAAGAAAAAAAAATCATATTTCAATCTGACTGAAGGTATCTGCCCTTCTTCCATATATGCTTGTAATCTGAGAAGAAAGTGACTGAGGCAGATAATAGACTACAATTATTTGATGTTTGATACTGGCATTATCCACCATAAGTTGGGATAAACCTCAGTGAACATATTATTTATTAAACCATTAGAAATTTTTGGCTTCTCTACACTAGAAATTCAAACCTTATAGCAATGAACTTTATTCACTACCAGTATTACTCTTCAACGTATGAAATTAACTGTAAGGAGCCAAGAATCAGATAGTACACATGGGAATGGACATCTAGGGGAAAAATTTTATGACCTAGTTATTCTAGAAAGAAAATTAAGAATACATTTCCAGAGTTATAACAATCACAAGTTGCTGCTGGTGGTGAAGGTTCAGTAGCCAGGCTCCTTGTCCAACTAGAGGCAACACACCTATATGTTGCTATTGTCAGTCAAAATTCTGGCATTCAGAATATGATTTGGACAGAAAGAGTGGCAGCAGAGATCCGAGTATGGAGGTCTGGTGGTGCTAAATTAGCAACACCTGTAATGATCTACGTACAGGCCCAGTTACAGCACCATCACTTTTTAACTTTCCCAGCCCACAGGCTGAGTTAGCAGCTCAGTTGTACCAACATGATATATGGCTATAGTAAGTATAATAAAATAAGCATCTTGAGAGTGTGTGTGTGTGTGTGTGTGTGCTGGGGGGAGGGTTGAAGGGTAGGAAAAAAGCTATAAAAGGGGAAACATGGCACAAAAGTTGCTAGGTTAGAATTTGTTAACAGATCAGACATACCAAAGAATGTAATGGTCCTTCATAATTAGGAGATGATGATGCCTGTCCTCCATTTCTAGACCAAACAGCTGTGCCTGCTAATATTAAAATGGAAATCACAATTAGAACCTTACAAACAAAAATATTTTTCTAATATTTTAGGTAATTTTATAGATAGGGAAATACCAATTTCCATTTAGGCTACAGAGGAGGCATACAGAGCCCTTCTGAAACACCAAGGGTGGGTGTGTGGTGGGACGCGGAGGTATCTTTATGTAAAACACATAGATACTGGGCCTCAAATTACCTCCTAACAGAGACGATTTCGTTGATTCTGAAACTATACTTGAGAGCAGTTCCTGAAGGAGGAAACGTCACTTTTAAAAGGAGAAGTGGTATGTTAAAAAAAAATACTAAGAAGGGTTTAGTGACTGTTTATGGAAAGCCAGCTCATACCAGATCACTATTCTTACTGTGGTAAAGCACATATTTGATACATGCTAATAAATCATTCAATCATTGGTCACTTATGACCAATGATTACCTATAAGAACCTCTTATGACTATAAAATTACAGTGACAGAGTAAAACCATTCTTTCTACATTAAAATCAGTAATACAATATATTGTGATAAAAGGGTACTTTGTTAAGTAAATTATTTTCTTTTGTAGTCACAAAATTTGAATATGAAGAAAAGCTCTTGTTAAATATATGTATATGTTTCTACCCTACCAAATTTGTGAATTAACTTTAGAATAACACTAACCAAGATGTTACCATTTTAAAAGCAAAGGAGTATTACAAAGTTTTATTTTCCACATTAGAATTTAGTGAAACAATGACTTTTTTTTTTGCTTGGTTATATATATGGCAGCATCGATCCAAAGAAATAAAGAACTCTGGAGTTTATTCAGGGCAATAAGTGATGTTACTATTTTCTTAGGTGAAGAAAAGGTGATTATCTTCAAATTAATTTTGTTTTAGAAAAAACATATAGATTGATCTTGCATGTTTTAAGATCAAAGGATGAGACATGGAAATGAGGATCAATATTTGTCCCTAAATCTACATTATCATAAAAATTAACTTTTTTTAACATGTGATCTTCTCTAACTTTCTAATAGGACTACAAAAGATTTTTTTCTGCTTCAATGTTCCTAAACCAATGTGCCATTGAACACTGTGTGTGCTTTTGTGACCCAAAATTATGCTACTGAGTAGACTACTTTACATATCTATTAAACTGCTGACTTTAAAGCTATCCTGTACTCTTCCCTACCTGCTAAATAACACTAACATTAGTGGCTCTTCACTTACCTAAGGTACAGGTCACAGCTTGCAGAAAAGACTGGGTTACAGTCAGTAAAATAATACTTCAACATCTCCATTGTGTTAACATAAGCACTAGGTGATTAATGTTCAGTTCATCACCTGACAATAGCCACTCCCCCTCTATAGTTGGTTTCAATTCCCCTTTCTTACTACTGGGACATCAGGGTCCACAAACTTCTCTCATCTTTGGGTCTCTCCTCTGCCTAAGGAGGGACAGATGCAAACTATGGACTCTTAGGTAAACTACCACTCCTGACCCAGAATTTGGTTCCTCTCTTGCAAAGAAACCCAGTAGTTTTAAATTGTCCCTGTCACATATTAACATCAAAAACAGCTGACAACGTGCATGTTATGGGATGCAACAAAGAGCTGATGAGACAATATCTGACTGAATTTAGATTGTCTACCCCACTGATGACTTTAAAAACACAGTCTGATAAGCTATTAATTAAAATAAATTGTTAAGGACATCAACAAAAGTTGATCAATTAAAAGTCACCTGTTTACACCACAATGAATATGGGTACTGAATACTACCACTGGAAATGCTTTTATTAGGTGCTGTGTTAAGCCTTTTGAGAGGCACCTCTCAAAACTAAACTAATTTGTAGATATTTCTCATAATCCATTAATCTTACCCTTGTCCCAGCTAAATGTCCAGGCCATGAAAATCAATTACATTATAAATTCAATTAGAATGGTTTTTTTTAACCAAGATTTTTTTTCACTATTTATTGGTACAAAAAAAGGTTTTTCTCTTAAATTATTCCTATGGCACTAAAGAACACAATGAAATTCTGTAAATCCCTATAGAACATAATTTTTGAGCACACTTCCCTTCTGTTGAAATGAATATGTTAACTGAGCTTTGCCATCTGAGATATGTTTATTCATTTTTGTTTCATGTCATCCACAGACCTAGGTAAAACTTAAGCCATACAAAGGTCTTCCTCATATTCCATGGGTCTTTCAGGGGTTGGGAACCTGTGGCCTTGAGGCCCCATGTGGCCCTCTAGGTCCTCAAATGTGTGACACTTTGAACCCAAACTTCACAGAACACAGAAGTCTGGATTCAGTCAAAGGGCCTCACTTGTGGACCTAGAGAGCAACATGTGGACAATATGTTCTAGTGCTTTTTCTATCCATACCTAATCCATATAATCTGGTGGAAAATACATAGTAACATTTCCAAACAGCAGGATGTCCTGTTATTCTTCTCTAAATGTGTTAGAGATGTGAGAAATACTTCTGCCTCCTATGTCTCTCTTGAGTGGCAGTATCTAGAGGTGTGCAGAGTCAGCCTTGAGACATGAAGATGCGAGTTCAAATTCTACCTCTGGGTACCCTTGTGAAAGTCACTTAACTTCTCACTGCCTGAGGCAGTTCAACAAGATTATAAATTGCAGAGAAGGTATGGATTTGCACTGTTATGGGAAGTTCTTGACTAGGAACTTCCCTTACAAATAAAATCACAGATCCAACCCAAAACACAAAGCAATGCCTATGTCACGAGGATGTCACTTTACAAACCTCACAGTCCTTTAAGGGAGTTGTTTTTATAAGAAAGGATAGGTATTAATTTCTGCTGATATTGTGAAATCAAATTTCAAGCACGGTACCTGAGAGAGAAGGAGGAGAGCCAACAGGAGTTGAAGGATTTGATGAAAAGCTGTTGTTAGTGTGATCTGGAGAATAGATCTTAAAAGAGTAAAAGAAAAATCATTCAGTACAAAAATTCAAGTTTTAAAGCAGACCCTAAAATAAACCCTGGTTAAGAAGCCCTGTTATATAACCAATTTACCCTAATGGGATCATCTCAAATTCCAAAAAGGACTGATATCACAAATTGCTTTACTTTTGGAGTCTTCATGATCAGAAATGCTTATATGGCTTCCTAAATAGCACCTTTGGAAAATAACACCTTCAAAAACATAATAGAAATCCATTCATATTAGTTAAAAGCAATGCTGAGAATTTTGTATGACCCAGATGGGTTCAGTGAGCATGATTAACCCAGACACATTCACAGCTATGTAACATGATAAGGTAGAACATGGTGAGAATGCATGGCATTATACGAAGAATCATGGGCTTAGAATCAGTCAAGCTGGGTTCTAGCAGCTTGTCCCAAACTAGCTACACATCCTTGAACAAATCACTTAACTTCTCTGTACCTGAGTTTTCTTGTATAAAAAATATAGGAGCTCTTGCAGTTTTATAATTCTGTGATGCATGCATTTTTCCTTATGGCCATGGTTTATATGTAGAGAAACTAGTTGTAAGAACTAAGTTTTTTTTTTTAAAGCACTGACATTTTTGGAAAGAATGTCACAGTAAAATGAATTCATTTGATACCTCTAGTGATGGTAAATATCCAACTGGAGCTCCTAAATCATTGCCATAATGGAAAACATCTCCAATTTACATCTATAAGTACACATGGTTAGTCTACACAGACAATATTAGGTGTGCCTCTTACAGAAATAAAATGTGCCCTTTTTTCCAGATCCAACCAACTCTTGCCTCTTGGTAGTAGAGCAAAGAAACCCAGTAGTACACTTTTACCAGTTAAGAAAATAATAGAACTTCCATGATGAAAACAGCCCAAATAAATCTTATCCAACCCCTCCTCCCCTCTTCATTTAATAGATGAGAATTCTGAGGCCCACACAAGCTACATGACTTGCTCAGTGTCATACATTTCCTTAGTGGCAGAATTGGGATTCAAATCTTCTGTCTCTAAATCTGATGCTGTTTCCATTATTAAACTGATAAATTAAGTTCTGTAACTCATATTTTTCAATTACTGCACTTTCTAAGTCTTTGAGAACTTGGGATACAATCAATGCATGATATTGTGACACTGAAGAGTACTTCCAATCTGGTATGTCTTCCAAAAATAAGTAATTTTGGACATTAAAGAAATGATAATGTAATAAACAGGATATGTACAGACCTATCCTATTTGCTATTTAGTATAACTATTAGAAAAATAAAGATGGAAATAAAATGTTTAGTTTTCATGTACTTCCAAGAACCCCCACCCCCTTTTTAACCAATGAACATTATATTTTACAACAAATTTGACACCCTCTAGGATCAAATCTATCCTGTTTGCTGTTCATTTTCTGAAATTTCAAATGTCCACTTTTGATTAAAGTTCATCCTTTTACAACAGCAAATGTGGAGTCCAAAGTAAATATTTTCTTACCGAAGCAAGTGCTTTCCCCAGAGCATCGCCGGTCTGTGAACTGCCTGCTGCACCACTTCCTCTATTTGCTGCAAAAACAAAAGGCTGACTGTGAAAACCAGGCAGTACAACATTTCGGAATTTTCTATTCCTAGTCCACTTACTCATAATTTAATTGCATTTTAATGCTAATTACATCACATTAATCTTTAATTGGCATTAATTTGTTTGCTAAGGTAGATGTCAAATATATTCATGTTACAATTTTTTTTTTTTACAGATCAAATATACACCTGGCACCTTGGTGTGTTCTTTTAAATGTCCTAATGGATATTTGCCATATCTTTGATTAAGGACAGTGATGGGTGAGAGGCAGTAACCATATAGATAAAAAATTTGTAGTTAAAGAAGACACTTCAATTTAAAGTCTCTGGAGACTCCAAAAGAGTCATTACTCTATTCGATACGAAATTAGGTTATTTTTTGACACTAATCAACATTTGACACATAGCAAACACTATGTCTCCCTCATAGCTCACTGGACTAAATATAACAATGAATCTGTATAGATATGGCCTGTAGAAAGATAAAACGTTTTAAAATATTTCCTTATATATACATTTATTAGCAGAGAAACAAATTGTTATGTCACCAGAATCAATCAAATCAAAATTCTGAGGATAAAATTATGCTAGAAACTCTTAAGGCTTATCTTTATTATCCCCAGATACACTAATCTACTGTTAAATAATGAATTATAAGTAAACAACATACACATGAAACCTATCTGTAGTTCTCTGAAGCACCTCACAAGTAGCTTCTAGCACTAAGCAATTTTTCAAAGAAGAGGTACAGTTAATATCTCTGAAGTCTCTATTATTACCCAATAACTATGACATTCATCAATTGTATAACGTGATATATAATAAGAAGAGACAGTGTGTCATACTGGCTAGTTCTGCTCTTAGAGTGAGGAAGACCTCTTCCAATTCCACCTCTAATACTCACTAGCTGTACAATTCCAGGAAAATCACTTATATGCCTTAGGCAACTCCTTTGTACTTATCTACTAAGTCACAGATGGGTTGCACAATGCATTAGTGGATGGAATTTCTACAACAAAAGTTTCCTACACTGCCCAAAACATCGATCCTCCAAGTTATTTTTTTCCATATTTAGAATATATTTTATACTATTTATTATGGGCTAACTTCTCAAAATACTGTATAGACATATTCTTGAGAGGCTTAGGAAACAAATGTTATCACTGTTTTGTAGAAGAGAAAAAAGGCAACTTAAATTCTATTGATTTAATTCAACAAGACTTTGTATATTTATATAATCTTAAAAAACATATAGGCTTTCCAAGTATGCTTGCTCCATCTCTAGCCATTTCCTTGAACCAAGAGGTTATACTTTAGTTTTTTCATTTGTAAAATAAAGGTAATGGAATAAAGGATATTTAGGATTTTTTCCAGCTCTAAAAATTCTACAATTCTATAGAAACCTAGCTTCTTACATTGCTAATCCGTTCTGTGAAGTAAAGATATTATAACTGCCTTATCATAGTCACACTATTTTTTTCTTTTCATTTTTACTCATATGACTACATATAGGTGAAGAGAATACCAAATGTTTTGATAAAACATTTTGTAGATTTAATAAGCACAGTGACAGACAAAACCTAAAGGCAGAGAAGAGTTAAAAACTTGAATCAATCATTCATTTGTTTTGACCAAAACGAAACAAAACCCAAACCTTGAATCATGCACATTTTACAATTGGATGTATATGTTTTAAAACATCATATCTCGATGCTTGTTTAGAACTAAAGTTGCTTACAACAATCTTCTCAGAGTTCATTGCCAGATATCACAGAATGGGATAATGAAAATACACTGAGCAAAAATGTTAACACTTGTTGAAAAAACTTTTTTTTAATAAAGGGATATACAAATTCCTAAGCATTAACTATTTAAAGCCAGGATTCTTAACTTGGAGTCTGTGAATTGGTTTTTTAAAAAAATACTTTTGATAACTATATTTCAATGATTGATTTTCTTTCTATTTTTACATGTTTATTTGTACATTAAAAACATTTTAAGATGGGTTCCATAGGCTTCATTAGACTGCTAGAGGAATCCATTATACACAAAAAGGTTAACAACCCCTGTCTACCTGAAAAAGAAAATAATGAGGTTTCTAAAATAAAATTATTGTATTTCTTTTTTCCTGCTTTCCTATAGCACCACTTTGGAGCATTTTTCTCTTTAGGAAAAAATAGTTTATAGGTTAAACTAGGTTACTTATAAACTAATTTTTATCATTTTTAACATTAAAACTATTTTTGCTTTCCTGATGCTTTAAAAATATATCATATTCATTTCTGAATATATCCCACTCTTGCCACTCTAATGAGTCATCCCCTGTAAAAAAAAAAGGTTTAAAGAGAAAATGAAAATAGCTCCAATGAAAAGAGCAAGATATATTTTCTTCACTTTTGTCTAGAGACAAATTTGGTCCATATATATACAGCTCAGTTTTGCTCAATTTTTCTTTTCCTTCATATTGCAGTTACTGTATTTAGTTTTCCTGGTCTTGCTTACTTCACTCTTTATCAGTTCATATAACTCTTCTTATATTTTTCTGAATTTTTCACAGTCATTATTTCTTATGGTAGCAATATGCCTTTATATCCATATACCACAATTTCTTTGGCCATTCTCCTACTGCATTATTTAATTTAAAATTAGGTATCTATGAAATAGACGTTCTAGAATTTACTCTGTAAGATCACACTGTAAAATTCTACATTATTACAATATAGGCAGAGTCCAAACAAGACAGTAGACACAGTGTCAGTTATGGATAAGATATACTACTGAAGCAAACAGTCTCCAAAGTGTCTCTTCAAAACAAATTCAAAGTAAAGAATAAAAACTGAAAAACAGCTAAGAGTCCAAAAAACTATTTTGGGTGGGGTAGCTTTTTTTTCCCCTAAGTTACAAATAACAGCAAAGTAAGTAATTTAAAAAAATGAGACTGTGACCTGACATTATTTCTATTAATTAAGGAACAATGTAAATACAATCTTCTTACCAATTTTAATGCAGTTTTCTCATTTTATGTATAAAGACACTGAGACAGGTAGGTGGGTTACAGAACAGGCAGGACACGGCTATACAGAAGCAGCGTTGTATGGTTGAGATTTTCTCAGCACTTGCTAACATTTCTCGTATTCTTTCCTTTCCAGTTTGAAAAAATAAAACATACTACCTCTTCAAACTATCATAAGTAGTACTCAAGAAAAGAACTAATAAGGGGTGCAAGGAAAAAAGAAATGGTATTGTTGTCAGAAGGCTTGGGTTCAATCCTGACTATCCATATGGGTATGATGTATATATGTATATATGTATATGTGTGTGTGTATATATATATATATATACATGTATATATATATACATGTATATATATATATACGTATATATATACATGTATATATATACATGTATATATATATATATACATGTATATATATATGTATATATACGTATATATATATACATGTATATATATGTATATATATACGTGTATATATATATACATGTATATATATGTATATATATATGTGTATATATATATATACATATATATATGTATATATGTATGTTGCTCAGCCTCTCTAAACTATAGTTCCCCCCATCCATGAAATGTGAAGAATTGAACCTCACTCTCTATAACCTGCCAGCATTTTTGTAAGGACAGCAGTTTGTAAGCCTTAATAGACCATATAAATTATTAGTAACATTTATAATATTGATGGAAGAAAGAGGTTTAAAACAGACCAGATAGTAGAACTGAAAGGAAATTTAAGTCATCTAACCAGTCCCCTCATTTCATAGATAAGGAATAACTGAGGTACAGAAATGCATGTGTGCACACACATATACATACACGTATGCATGTATACAATACATGTATCTGCATGTACATATATGTACACATGGAATTATGCTCATAGTACTGAATATGCAGTTCAAAAAAGGAACAAAATCCATCCCTCTGAAAATTTTATGTTCCCAGTATGAGTCAACTTTTTAAGTCTTTGATAGAGTAGAATGGATAGATAAAACCAGAACAAGTCTCATTTAGTTTCCAAACAGAATTATTTCTTCTTTTTCAGATATGGGGCATGGTACCCACTAAATTTCTTGGCTACCTTTCCTTAAGACTTGCTTTTCAAACTTGTCTCTCCAAGCCTTTGATTCTATAGGTATTCACTGAGCTGTCTGATCCTTGCCTACACAGTAGTTGGACATGACTTTTGAGAGGGGAGGAATTTCAGGTATCATTTAGCTGAATCCCAGACAGGTGAGGGGAACATTCTTTGGTCACATGACTAGAGCCAAGATTAACATCCACATCTTCTCCTGGGCCAGTTTTTTACAGTATCTCATGGTGACACATGTACAAAGTCTCCATACCAAAGCAAAGCTAGAGTCTGCTTAGCCGGCAGGCACCAAACTCTTGCTCAAAGTCGGGGGAAGAGGAGTGGAGAGGGACAGGACCCATTTCTAAACACACTTCTGGCATGAATGTGAAGGATATTTAATTGTTGTGAGGAACTATAATTTTGTAGGAGGGTTTAACACAGCCAGTTAGATGATTATCAGTCAGAGGACTTGAACACAGGTGCTGCTGCTGCTGCTGCTGCTGGCTGTAAGCTTAGCAAAAAGAAGATGAATTTAAGATGCTTAGATCTGATTTGGACCACCCTCTCTCTGTCTTAATATCAGCTTTGGGAAAAATGAAAGTTACATTCATACACGCCCTAACAAAAAGCCAGAATGAACTCTGCCTAGGGACTCCCTGAATTTGGAAAACGTCAAAGGCACCAATTACCCCCACAATATACACCCATAACCCTAACGTGGGAACACCATGCAGACAATATCAAAGGCATAAATTTTTTTGAAAAAAGTCTGGGTCATGGGATAAGTATCTAAAGAAGAAATGTTTCTTTAAAATCAGAGATTCACTGACAAGAATGCCGAACATCTTTTGGCTGCTCAACTGCTGGGTGTGTGACAGGAACTCTGGATCTGAAATTAACGATGAAAAGTAGGCAACATCTCTCTTTGAGGCAGTATTGTATTTGGCACAGTTTTTAAACTGGAACACAAATACATACTATAAAACTTTACTTGCTGGGGAGGTCTAGAGGTAGGGGAGAGTTTAGCAGGAAGCTAGACTTCCTAATTATTAGCAAGAAATGAAAAAAAAAGATAAAGAAAGAAAAAAAGTTCAAATTGGTATAATCTCAGTTGGTGGTCCTAACTAAAATTCATTGATACTACTAGATAAAATTCATACCTCTCTTATGCTATGTGGCTGTTCATCACCCAAATGTACTCAAAAGCTCAAGACTCTTTTAAAACATCAAGTGAATATTATATGACTACTCTAATAATAACATCAGTGAGAAACCAAGTCCTCAAGGGGGAAAGAACACAATGTTTCTACCAAGAAAGCCACATACTGAAATGTACCATGTCATACAAACTTGTCATTAGAAGCAAAAGTAGCAAGCTAGATTAATTCAAGAATCAGATATATTCCAAAGCAATCTTTATCACATGCTGAATTAAATCTATCTTGGTAGTCTGTTCTTTCAACACTGCTTTGGTTGAGGCTTTTTTAAATATAAGCAACACCATCCACAGGAAATTTTACCTAATAAAACAATACTTGTTATATAGTTAATATATTTATTATATCCACAGTTCTCAATTTTTTTCCTCTAGGGACAAGAGAACTGGAAATCCCAAATCACAGCAGGCTTCTGCCCATTGACTCACTTAGATGGGGAAAATGTCATTTTCAGTGATACACTGGAGGGTGGGGGTGGGAGCAATGGACTTTTATGCACCTGGGTAACCTCTTTCTGCTGAGATTAGGTCACATGTTTTCCTCCCTTTCAGGTATGATGAATTAGAGATCATTTATGGTAGAAGAGGCAGGTATGCAGGAACCCTAGGCAGTCTCCTAATCCTAATCCTGTTTATATGATATATACTTCCCACAACTCCTTTCACCTCACCCTAAGGGGAATGTTCAAACATATATTTGCATTTCCAATGGCTAGAGCTTTGTACTTTGTACACAGTAGGAATTTAACAAATGTCTGCTAACTGTAAAACTGATCTCTACCCCTGTTTAAATAAATGTTTACTTTCAGTGTTGCCAGAACAATGTGCTGGATCAGGGTTAAACCTTGGAAGGTCTTGGACAAAGACATGACAACAGCTGTTATAGGTAAAAGGGAATAGACTGATTCACTTCAATTCTTCAATAATGCCATGATTTCACTGACATGGACCTTCCCGTAATGGTACAGGTCATAACCCGTCCTTGCCATCTCACCCTGATTGACCTCCATCCACGTCATCTCATAAATGTTGCAGAAATTATTCTCCCAAAATGTTAGATTTCCTTTAAGTCCTTTAAATGCTAAGATTTCCTTTAAGCTTATGTTACAAAAATCTGCTCTGGTGCTTGGCTATAGTACTGAATTCACTTTGGGTCACTGAAGGGTTAGATTAGTGGAAAACAATTGTTCTACCATGTTGGAGAGGCTTAGATGTAAGACCTTGATGAAAGATGAGTTTCTGATACTTTAGGACAAGCCTAACTAAGTAAAGAGAGGTCATTTACTACAGGCAAGTTACTTAGTGATTAATATAACTCATGATTCTCTTATTCTACTTCAATTTTAACACAGAACTAGAATTAATACTGTCTTCAACCCATGGTACTTCACTCCAGTTTACCCATAGATCTTTTCCAATTTAAGTCTAATTTTTTAAAAATAAATATGATTTTGATGCTGGCAAGTGATTTTAATGGAGTTACTATACTGATGCTTCAATAAGGTGGATGCCTCTGACTTCTCCAGATGAAAAAAAAATCATTATAAATTTCTACTGAAGACATATGGGTGATTATATCATAAAAGTCAATTATTCATTGGTGTAGTAAGAGTAACCCTCTTTTTAAAAAATCTAGTTATGAATTTAGAAATAAAAGAATAAAACAAAGTAAACTCAGTTGCCTTCTGAAGTAATAAATAAGCAAAACCCCACTCACCCAAAACCCTAGTACTGTACTTCATCTCTCAAACCTGGACTGAAGAACAATTTAACTTTTGCTTTTGTAATTACCCATAATTAAAGAGAGTCCAATGAGGTTAAATTGTTAAGGTTTTAGAAAGAAGTTCTCTTGTCACATTTATTAAGCTTTACAATTCTGAATAAACCTGGGACTTTGCTTCCTCTTCTGTAAAACAAGCAGGTTGGAATATATTATTTCAATGATTTTTTGCAGTTCTAATGATTCTATGATACCATTATTTTAAGTTTTGTTCTATCAAGTAACTCATGGGACAGTAATCAAGTACACAAGTAACAATGAGATAAATACCATAAAAGAAAAAGGTTCTCAATACATCTGAGAGATGGCTGTGTGATCTTTCAAATTGGAAAAGTAGCCTAATGGAAGCATCTCCATTATGAAATTACTGATTTGTATCTTCAGCAAGAAAACATGAAAAATATGATGCCCATGTGTTAATGCTTGAACCCCATTCTTACTGCATTAGTACTGCTTACAGTCATTTTATACAGAATCATGTGTGTAATCTAAAACATATGTCACGTTATGTGTTCCCTATTTACCAATTATTTAATTAGCTCTGTTTGTTCTCTGAGATATAGGCAATGCAATATTTCTTTATTTCCTGCATGTAAGTATGAGTGAATTTTTGCCAAATACTTTAGAAACTCTACAGATGTATTTTATTAATCTATACTGTTTGTTAGGAAAGTATCAGTAACATCAGAAGAGAAGGCTTCTCATCTTGTTATAAAAACTTGCTGCCATCATTGAAGTACAGCATACTCTGTGAAAATCAAATCAAATTCTGAGAGAATTATTATATAAAGGAACCAAAGTCTCCTACTTGCAATAGTAAGATTTAAAAGAATATTTGAAATATTTCCTTAAGAAATATTTAACAGATCAAAGATACATTTTACTAAGAAATATAACCATTAGCATTCTGTTCCCATCTGTACAATGTGTCTAGAAGGTTTCTCTTTTCATAGTAAAGCTGAATTACTTCAGCAACTTCCTTCACTAAAGGATGATGAGACTTTATCACTCACTTATTAACGAGGAATTCTGTAGTCTGTTATAAATACAAACTTATTTTAGATCACTGCTGTTCCACCAGTATTTCATATGTGGTCAAAGAATTCTGATTCTCCTTCTCCCATTAACTCAGAGCTTCCTCTTCTTGCCCTTTGCACTTGAGCCAATGACTTTATCTCTACAAACAACAAAGGCATCTTTTGGCACGTATGCTGTTAGTATAGTACCCACATCTGATAATAAGATCTTATTGCATCACCTACAAGACAATTACTAGCACACAATTAATTCAACAATATAATCATTTTTCCCCCCGTGAGATTAATGGCTATGCTGACTACGGCTCATTCAGCATTTATTATCTTATGGCACCTACACTAATAGCTATTCCCAAACCATGCACTCTTTTCCCATACTAGAAATAAAGTGGTTTCTGAATTAATCAACACATATTTATTCCCATTTACTGTGAATATATGAGTCCTCCCTTGGTCTACTACTCCTTTAACTATAGTTGCTTCTTCCCTTCTGAACATCCACACTTTATTCATTAAAAAGAAAAAATACTAAAACCAAAAGTAGACAGGAAACCTAAGCCAGTACATCTAAGTAAATGAATGACCATGCATTCTCCAATGGATCTAAAACTCATGACTCTAGTGATGGGGCTTTCCATCAGTCAAACCACATGCAGAGTGTAATATGCTTTCATTTTCTGCTCTGCAACTACTTTTTTTTCTTGCTTTTGAATTTTGCAGGCTTCACTGATAGTTAGCAAAATTATACCATGGATTCACCATAACCTTTGTTCTTAATTTTTGAAGTTTAGAAGTTCCAGGCTGAAAATGAACAATAATGGAATATCTTCACTGTATCTCTTTTTAGCAAAGCTCATGGAATTTTAGTACAGGAGATGATCAGTGATTCAAAGCAACCTGTGATTTTGGTATATATTGGCTTTACTTTATTATTATTCCCTGTTTTTCATTTCAAAAATCCATTGATAGCTCTGCTTGCTCTTTCTATGTGAGAGGGTTATTTTATCCCTATCTCCTTTCCTTATACCAAAAGCAGGTGAAAAGCTAAAAGTTGAAATGGAAACACAAATAGAAAGGTCAGTTACAACTATGCCAATAGAAACCTCTAGGATTGCATCTTTAATCTCTACGAACATTTATTTAGAATAAGCTAATATTTTTGATATATTATTAAAGAAAGACTGCAGAATGAAACTTGTAGATTGCCTAAACTAGATGGGTGCAAGCAAACTTACTATAAGTGAAAAAAGAGCTTTCATTTCTAAAGTCCTTTCTTTTGGTCATATGCATTAACCTCTCTATGACTCACCCATTATACTGTCTGTTCCATTAGCAGGTGGTGTGCAGGAAGAGGCGCTGTAATGGTTTGTACCACTACGATGGAAAGTGGACATCGGAGGAAGACTAGAATTGATGTCTGCTGAGGAGTGTGAAGGATAACTCTGTAGTAAGAAGTAGAAAATTTGAAATTTTAAAAAAAGCAACAAATGACCATTCAGTTCTGTATTTCTTTCTTGCTTCACTAAAAACTACTCATTTTGCACCAAAGTTTTGCCTTTAGGTTCTACAAATAATTAAGTTCAACTGTTAGTTACTATAAATTTCTTAGAACTTACATTTTATAAGCTGAATAAAATTTTTAAAAATTACATATAATCCTCAGAAAGATCGCATACATAGCTGGTTAGTTTTCATCAAATGGGACTATAATTATCAAGCGATCTAAACATTATAGAGTAAACACTACACTAAAAATTATCTCCATCTGTATAGCTGAAAAATGCTTAAATTAATAAGAATTCTGATGGAAGTTTGATTGGGCTCTCAACTTAAGCTCACCTCTAGCAGAATTTTTAATGGCTTCTAAAGTGTCATTTGGGAAAGATTTTGCCACATACCAAGTTTTAGAAGAGCAAATCAATATTTACTTTTCACATGATCTTCCAATACCATCTATTCTTGCCTTCCTTATATCAAATGGGAAAGGATAATTTTAACAGTCTTAAATCTTCTTGCTGACCATTGAATCACCTTTTTTTCATAATTCACAAAATAGAAATGAGAAAAAAACCCAAATCTGAATTATGTGAAAGGGTATTGTTAAGAACCATACATCAAGATCCAAATTTGATTAAGGTGGAACAAAACTCAACTTAGAATGACTGACTTTATTTTTGGTGCTTTCTTTGAATGACCTCTGTACCAGCTGCTAACTACACAGTGGACTTTGAAATGAGATTATCTCTAAGAAATAATTTGGTTTCTCATCCATCTTTTCAAGTGAAGTTGTTATGACAGTATTCTATGTAAGTTATTTTTTCCAGGGCATGCAATAATTGATGATGTTGGTAATTAATCTTACTACCTATCTGTATCTTCTTGGAACTGAATAGGCCTATAAAAATGTGTCTATGAGATGACAATGTACTGTAGTCACAAAGATGTGTAAAACTGTATTTTTTCAGAGAAAAACATATAATTTTGTAAAATAATTTTCTTAACACCATATGTATGCCTTTCATATGACATGCATGGAACAAAGTGGGCTGGCCATCTAAAACATATACTTTCTTTGACTGTACATGGAATATCAGGATAAAACTATTTTATTATATAATTATTGGGGATACTTTTTTTTTAGCTGTAAGATTTAGTACTACAACATTAAGCTGCATGGGAAATAGTTGTCATTGCTTAAATTCCACTCATTTGTTCTTCATTAGTCTTCATTGTCTTAATATATTCATTATTGAAGGACTAATCCAGTTCCTCCTGTACTCCTGTACATTTTCTCCAACTCTCCCAACCCTCAGAGAGCTCTTCCTTCTTTAAATTCCTATGGTACTTATACTTTGCAAAGTATCACTTGGCACTTAACTATGTACTGCCTTTCATGACTCTTTTAAGTTGTTTCTTGTGTAATTTCATCTCCCCAAATAATACATAAGCTCTGTGAACGGCAGGGAACATGTCTTATATATTTTTGAATCATCCTCTTCACCTAGGGCAGGATTGAGAAAGCAAAACAATTTCTCTTTCCCCTATTCTTCCCTACAAACTCCCCCAAAATAACAACAATAACCTCTCCACCCCCCAAAAACCCTATTGGTTCATTCATGACAGGTAACATTTAATAAATAAGTGCCTGATATATGGAGTATATTTTAATGTTGATTTTATCAATGTCAAAGAGACCTTTGACAAAATTTTCTTTGCATAAACAGAATGACCTCAGATTAACATGTAACCAAAACATTTTTTGTTGAGGCACCTGAACCACTTATCCTACCCACTTTTACTCACCATTATAATAAGAACTTTTCTAAAATTATGCTGCTTTTAAATGAGATACCTATAACATGATATATCATTCAGAGTAAGAAAGGATAATGGGATGGTAAGCAGAAAGTCTTTAGAAAAGAATCCCACACTTTAAAAAATCACTTGACAAACATTTATAGACTGCCTATCAAATGGAAGTTAAGGAGCTTTCTCAAGAAGTTTATGATATAAGTGATGAAGCATATCCATAAAGTCCTGTACTTCGTGCAGGCAAGAGAAGAAAAGTTGCGTGTGTTAAACTAGAGGTAAATGGATGTTAAAATGTTGATTTTATTTATGAGCTACATCAGGCATGGTAAGATTTAATTTAATAAAAACCTGAAGAAATGAAACTTTCAAGTCATGTGAATTTCATCTTCCTTTCAAACAATATTTTCCTTTTAAAAAATAAATCACAAGGAAACAATAAGGCATTAGGGAATTCATTAAACGACAAAAACATCAAACAACTGTTGGATTATGTCCTGGAGTCCATATGCATTCAACCTAAAATACTATACATGCCATATGCAGAGCCATCTATCAGGCACACTGATGTTCACAGAGTGAACAATATCGGCATAAAAGATTCAATCATGTTTGTTCTGCTATGTATGATAAAGCAGCAAATTATATTCTGACACTTTTAAGAAGGGGTGATAGGTGATACCTATAGGTAACCAAAACATAAATGAGAAGAATAAAAGTCTCAAACATTCTAGTTAATTAAGATTTTAGTTAGGTAAAATAAAGATTAGTAGAGAGCTCAGTCAGTAAGTTAACAAGCATTTATTTATTAAGCCCTTCACTATGTGTTAGGCTTAGATGTTCTAGTCACCAAGTACACAAAAGAATATGTGTTATAAGAATGAGTCATGTGACACTGAAGTGGGAACAAACAATGCAAAAATAGGGAAAAGAACATAACTAATATGGAAATGTTTCTTTCTTTAATGAAATTCTGTTATGTTTTAATACAATTTTCTTTCAAGTTCTTTTTTTTTAACACGTGTAGAGTTTGTGATTTCTTTATGGGGAACTACTGGAGGGGTGTGTGTGTGTGTGTGTGTGTGTGTGTGTGTGTGTGTGTAGTTTTACAAGGATGTAAACAGAATCTCCTAAGGAATCTTTTGTTTTCTTCAAAAAAAGAGATGGAGGCTGCAGCATATTGAGACACATCTAGATAGAATGGATACATGGCTTACAGAAAATCAAAGTCATGGGCTCTTTATGGCAGGAATGTAGCTGTTAATGGTGTATAGAAAGGACTTGAGATTGAAAAAGGAGAAAGATAAAGAAGAACAACATAAAAAACCAATACTGGTGGATTATGTACGTACTTCAAAGGCCAGGACAGAATATGTGAGTGGCAAACATGGGAAGAAATCATGCAAAGATATTCAAAGAATTAGATTTAATGTAGGATACAACAGAGATACAATGACGTGAAATTCACTGAGACTTTTTATAGTTCCATTCAAATAGGAAATGTGCAGACATTCTGACTATGGTAAAATACAGTAAGAACTAACATGAAGTTTAAAGTACTGAAAGAACATTTACTCTCTAGAGTTTTCTGTGTGGGAAATAATGCAGTTTATATAAAACATTTAGATTTTAAGTACGTTATTAATATTCTAAGAGAAACTAACAAAAGACTTGTCTCTCTCTTAAATAATGTACTTAAGGCAGAGGTTCTTAAACTTGTTGGGTTCCCTTCTGGCAGTCTGATAAAGCCTATCTATCTATGGATCCTTTCTCAAAATGTTTTCAAATGCATAAAACAATATACATAGGGTTACAAAGGAAATTAATTGTATAAAATTAAACAAACAAACAAACAAAAAACAAATGCAGAGACCCCAGGTTAATAACTCTCGATTTAAATAAGAACTGTCAAGAATTATGTAAAGATAATTTTAAAATTAAAATATCTTAAAACAGATAAGAGTATATGGGACATTAAGAAGCTGGGTGTCCTTTAAGAACTGAATGTCCCCATTTTGGGTATAATGATTAACTGCGGGGGCTCCTACATGACATGCCTAGTAGAAAAGTTAAAGCATCTTCTTTATACTGGTCTAAAGGAGAAAAGGTAAAGGTGAAGTAACAGCGAACTGCTGAATTCTGCCATCAGCTGATGCTCATTTTTGCCATGTGTGGTGAGACTCTATCCATCTCTCAATGACATAGACAGTGAATGGTTTTTGGTGGGAATATTTTTGGTCATTATTAGATAACACAGGGACAGATATTATAATAGATGTCTGCACCCAGACAAAAAGAAAACAAGTATTGGGTTGCTTTTGGTTACAATGGAATGAGAGAAAGGCACGCGGAGCTCACTTTAGGGTAGGATTCTAGGCTCACTGGACTGGAATGGACCTTGCCTGGTCAACTTTTCCATCCCATTGTCTGAGGATCATGACTAAATTATCACAAACAGATGTGAATCTCTCCTATTTTTAAAAACCTCCAGGATAATAGGCCCAAAAATCTTAAGTTTAGCCAACTACTAGTCAAGAAGAAAAATAAATTTGACATAAGTTCTGAACTATTTTGTAAATTTCTGAATTACTGTAGCAATTAACTCTAGGATTCTCTTGGTTTGTATCTTCTAGAAGTCAGAATTATAAAGGGAGTAGTATTCCAGTATGAATAGGGAAAAAAATGAAAACTAAGGATCTTAAAGTTGTTGCTGAAGTGTCAAAAGATTGCTTGTTTCTGTTGTTAAAAAAGTTTTTATATATGTAGTACATTACAATAAAATACTTGGTAACTGAGAGCAATACAGAATAGTATTGGAGAGTTGTTTGTCCACATAGTCAGAAAGACCTGGGCTCAAAACATGCTTCTAGCAGATATTGGCTTTAATTTAATTCTTGAGTACCCCAGGCAATCAGTTGCAAAGCAACTGAATAAGTCTACACTGGTAAAGCAAGTTCCCTCAGCAGTAGTTTACCACTGAGATCATAGGACTTTTTTTTTTTAAGATAGCAATTATACTCTTCAAGAGCTTGACCTTTGGAAATGAAGACCTAACATTTACGCACAATTACCAAAATAACACAGGCAAAATCTTCTCCTTTGGCCTGATTTTACCCAGAAAACTACAGCAAAAGCTTCACTTGGTGCATTGTAGGCTTGGCCAAAGGCTACAAGCTAAATAAATGTAAGGAACTACCATCATTTCCAAATGAAAGGACATTGATTTCCCACTGCATACTCAAATTACTGTCAATCAGTTTAACAGATTCTTAAAAGCATACTCAATGAGAGATTATGGATGGTTAAATCACAGAAATTACATTGATTACTGGATGTAATAATTTGATGTTATTCAAGTTAGTGGAGAAAACTACATCAGAATGCAGAGAAATAGTTCTTGCTTCTTACATTTTTATACTATAATTACTGAAATTTGTTAATTTCTGGAGCCCAGAAATGATACTCTACATTGTGGGCTGACTATATATGACTATACATGCCACTAAATACTAATAGTGGGAATGGGTTTATCTAAGGTTATCCTTCAAATTGGTAAAATTATTTTGGCTCAGCAACATCTCTTATGAAGAGAATATCAGCTTTAGTTTGAACTCGTACTTTTCATCTGCAACTGAAGGCATTTTCAAACAAATACAGTCTTTTGTAAGCAGCAGTGACAATATGACCTGGTTAGTTCAGCAAACATCAAACTAATTTACTGTAACTTTCTGTGTCCTAGAGCCTGAGAGGAAGAGAAGTGAAAAAAGAAGAAGAAAAAAGAAAGGATAAAAGAGTTAAAAAGGACTAAAATCCAACTACTGAGGTCTAAGGGTGCTGGGAACCCAAAATTCAAGAGCAAGCGACAGAGGTCCTGCCTCAAATGAATTCAATCCAAGCCTTCTTGGGGTGGCGAGATTCCTAGTGGGTCTGTGTTATTGGCCAGATCTTAAGAATCTGAGCACTTTAATGGACGCAAGATGAATCTTTTATACAGAAGACTGTGGGAACAGAGCAGGGGTCTAGTAGGAATTAAGGGTGGGAAGTGGCCAGGGGTGATCCAGAGGTAAGGCTGGGCTAGATTAGAAGTAACAGAGAATTGGAGGTTTGGGTGTGGGGCCACAATGAAAGGACTGACTGAGAAGGGTCAGTTGAGCCAGCAAACAACAGGAACTGGGGCCACGTGGGAAACTCCAGGGCTTTTCCTTTTCGGGGTCCAGATCCCAAAGACATGGTCTCTTCCTTTTAGGGATTTAGATCCCAACCCCATCACAACCAGACAGAGGCAGTGCCAATACTTTTTAACTGAAATATCTATAGGACATAGTAAATTTCAGTTAATGACAATAAAAGCTTTTGTTAATCAGCATTTCCAGAAAAAAGAGAAAACAGTGGTAGAGAAAGAGTAAAGCTGTTTATAAGCAACTCCAGTTAATTAAAAGTTAATTCACATAGATCCAGTCCATTCAGTGTCCCTGTAATACTTCCCTAGTTCCCTCTTCTAGGTAAGGTGAGGCATCCTGGGGAGAGGTTAGAAAATAAACCATTTGCTGTTTACTGTAAAGGTATTTAAGTGAGAGGTTCATATCAAAATGTGACAGTATAATGATTTTACACATTTAAATTTGATGAGATCAAAATTAGTACTAAAAAGGATAAATCTTATTACTAGAAAATTGTTCTTTCCAGTTACTGAGATCCCTGCTCCTCTAGTAAAGTCTCAGTTATTAAAATGATGATTTAACGATCTGATAAAAATATTAATTTACTGGGCTTTCTTGGTGGCAAAACGAAGATAACATGCCTTTGGCTATATCTGCAGTAGCTTGGAGGAACAGAAAGGAGAAATCAAAGAAAAGAACAAAGAATTAGTTCTTGTGGAAAAATTGAAAAAATCCAAGTAGTGTAAGGAGAAAAGGGGAGAACAGAGAGAAGAGGAGACATTAGGAAACATATCACTAATGAACAGTTGGCAAAGCCTTGGTGGAACTATAAGCATTTTAAAAGTATGCATAGAACCACAGACCTTCCAGACACATAGTGAGCACACAGGACAATTTTGGATAACCCACATACTCCACTTGTAAACTTGCAACATCAGGACAACGTGAGGATGGCCTATAGTAGGTTGGGTAGCCCTCTCTGTGAATTTTAGATAAAAAGCCTTAATGCTTAGGTATTAAAAAAATCAACTTCACAAGTATATGGCAGGGGAAGTATGGATAGATAACAGTTGTTCTGTAAACAAGGTATGAGGGTTTTAGCAGATAGCAAGTTTCAGTAAGTCTGAAGTGAGATGTGCAAGCCAAAAAAGCTAATGTAATCTTAGGCTGAATTAAGAGGGGCAGAGCCTGCAAGAATAGGGAGGTAATAAGTCATGTTCACAGTCTTTATCAGACCTCATCTGTAGTATGAGCTTCTGTCCTGAGTGACGGGGCTTCAAAGAGATGTTGATAAATTCTAGATTGCACAGGGAAGGGCAACCAAGATTGGCCAATGGTCTTGGGTCCATGTCATAGAAGGATTAGCTGAAGAAAAGGAATATGTTTTGCTTGGAAAAGAAAAAGACTTGGGGTTGGGCGCAATCAGATTTCTTCTCTGACCAAGAGGGCAGAGCCAGAAGTACAAGTTGCAAAGAGACAAATTTAGGCTTGATGTGAAGAAAAAACTTTGTAACAATTAGAGCTGTCTAAAAGTAGAACGGTCTGCTTCAAGAGGTGGTGGGTTCATCCTTCTTGGAGGTCTTTAAGCAGAGACTGGATGACCACTTGCAGGACATGTTATAATGGGGATCCCTTCTGCATATTGCGTTGCATTAAACTGAAGCTGAGGTCCTTTTCAATGCTTAAATTGTGAAGTTCTGTAATTTTAGGGAGGACATGGATAAGAGTAGCATAGGCTTGGTAGGCATGGCTGGGTTGTGACCTGCATCACTGGGGGAATACTCACATTCAATAAAAGCACAGATTCATGGGAGTATTGGATTTATGAGCTTGACAGCATCAATAAACTTTTATAATTACGCTACATTAACAGGAGAATTAATATTGTGACTACTCTTACATTAATACCAAATCTAGCTTTGGTATCTAGTAGCACTTTTTTCTCTAACAGACAGACTGAATTATCATTACAAATTCTGGGTTCTTGAAGATGGAAAGAAGCCAGATCAGATTACAGTCTTATGGTGACAAAAATATAAGTATAAGGTAGTGGTTAGGGTGGTGGAGAGGAAAGGAAGTCCATCACTTTTGATCATATATGATAACATATTAAATCCACATGTCTAATTTGTGCTCACTATGACTTCATCACCAATAAGACCCCCTTTAATAATGATACTAGCAATTCAGGACACATAAAGAAAACATGGAACAAAAATAATTGAGATTATAAAAGGAAAAGGGACATATACATTCAGGGAAAAGAGAATAAAGTGATAAGAAAAAAGATGACTAGGAAAAATCATAGTTTCTTAGATCTAGGAAGGATCTAAAGAAATGATTTCTTCCAGTGCAGTCTCTAGTCTAAAGCATCTAGGGCTGATGCTTGGATAACCTTTCTTAAAGATCTCAGGGATGAAGATAACCCTCTAGACCGTATGCCTATATTTCTAAAATGAGAGGGTAAGATAATCAGTCAACTGGCTTTCTTATCTCCATTACAACAAAAAAACAGCCTTACCAAACGTTCATGTGGATGCAAGCTGCAGTAGCTGCTAGACTGTGGAATATGAGAAGAATTGCCCAACATTCCTCCGTAGCCAGGCTGATTCATCCCACTGGAGGAGCTCCAAGGGTCACTGCTGTGATGGCCATCTGCAAAGGACAAAGAAAACGGTGGCTTCCCTGAAGGCCTTGAAACTGGCTTCGAGAATAGTGTTTGTCTCATAAACTTAAAAATAACTGTCCCAATGCACTTCATTTATCCTTATGCTGGTTGGTTGATTATACTAGGACACATAGCATAAAGAATATGGTGTTCAATTACCTAGCAGCTAAAAACAGGTCCTCAGTTAAAAAACAAGTTGAAGAGAGAGAAATGGAACACAATTTCATATTGAATTATGTCAAGTTAGCAGGATATCTAATGTTAAATAAAAGTTTCTTGGCAACTCCTTCACCCTTTTTCCTATGATAAGTGTTGCGATATTTTGGGATGAATATTTTTAGCTAAAAAATGCATGATACATTACACACTTGGCAATTTTACAAATGTTAAAAGTAAACAAATGGCTATTTGACTTAAGAGGTTGGATTTCAGACCTATAATACACAAACTATATGGAAAAAATCTCGGAATTACTAAGTGGTATCATAGGAAAGGGTAAAAATCTCTACAGTACATATGCTTCTCAGTGGATTTTGGGGTTTTTGTGAAGATATTAGGTTTTCAGCAGAAACAACTTCAGACATACATATCTTAAACAGAAGACATTCTTTTTAATATTTTAAGAAGAATGGATTTTAAAAAAATATGGGGTGGCAAAATGGTTGAAAATTCCATTTAGTATTTTTGTCAGGTCAAATTGTGATCCTGGTATTAATTCAAAATTCAAAACTTATTCCTAGGACTTTCTCATTTCAGACAAATTAGGGAAATTATACTACAATTTGGATATAAAAATCTCCCTTGCTACTATGGTCTATGGTTTCTGGTATTGGTTTCTGTGGTCTTTTTCACACTTCAGGGTGGGTGGCAGAAGAAAGAAGTGGGATTGGAGAGACAAACTTATGTTACTATTGAATATGCTGCTGGCACTGATTCCATAACAACTGGATTACTTCCACAGTAAACCTGCAGAGGATTTTTCCAAATAGGCTTTAATCGTTGGCAGTACTTCTAATTCTTCTACAAGGCAAGCTGAATGGGGCACTATACATCCCATCAAGGGCTTTTCACTGAAGTACTAATTCTAGATGTTGAAATTTTGAAAACTGGAATATTTTCAAGCAGTCTGGAAGAATAATCTATGTGGTCTTTTTAAAAAAATAAGTACTGTGCAGCTAAAACTTCATTCATGGCTTTGAAATTTTAAGAAATTTAGTTGGAAGAATAAAAGTGAAGATTAAAATTAGGAGACATGGTAATAGAACTATAACATGCTTCAACCTCACTTACAGAATGTCTGAACTCTTACTAGGTACTCAATTCAACAGCACCTAAGGTTCAGCACTCAATAATTCACTATAGGTTTATGGGAGCTAATTTTTTTTTTTTTGCACAAAAAGGGAGCCCAACTCCTCTTTATCTGTCATCATGGCATTAAGGAAGAGTATGATTAATACAGTCCATACTTCACTTAATATGGAAGAGGTCCTTAGATTAGAGAAGTATAGATATCCCTATCTTAATTTAAAAGTCCAAGGCTAAATTCTTTTAATGAATGGTTGATGGGTACGGCAAATGACTTTGTAAGACTGCATTAAAGAGCAAGAGCTTCTGTATACATTCTGAAATGAGATGCACTATGTAGCAATTAAAATCTATTTAGGGTTTGTTATGTTAGAAAATTCTGCTCAATGCAGACTCATAAAAATACATATTTTACATATGTATTGCTTTTCACAGCAAGTTAATATTTTTTATACTCTTGTGATCTTGCCATAATGTTGCTTTTTAAAAAATAGGAAAATATTTCTATATTCTGGGCAAATAAATTGTGTAAATGAAATGATAAATGTTAACTTTTAGAATCAAATCATTATGTCATTTTTAGCTCTGTAAAGATAAAATATTTGCTCCCATATTTTGCCTTATCTCCATATAATTAGGAAACTATTATTAGTATTAATCTATCTAAATCTTCCTCCTCTGGTTTGGATGATGCAAGCAGGTCATTCCACTAAAAGCAGAATGGAGAAAACCTTTTCGTCAATAGCTTGGGTACATAAAAGTCTTGTTGATGTATAAATCCATTTCTGGGAGCTGTTTTCCCAACCATGAGTAGCATAATTTCTCTCTGTTATTTGAAAAAGGAAATGGTGGACCCAATGGAATGATGGATGTTATGTGTAGCAGAGTGCTACCTGACTCTGAATAGATGAAAACACCAACTGAGATAATTCAACTTTGCCTCTAGGACAAGACACAAGTAGCAAAAAGCTGCCATTAAAAGGCAGGTACCCTGCTTGTCTTTAGAAAACAGTATGGGGTGTTCTTTAGTATCTCACTTTAAATGTCAACATCAATCAACAGGGACCAATTGGACTAATTTGTACTGGGTATCATGACAATTCCTTCACTGGGTATGCAATGGAGGTGAAGCCAGGCTCCAGGAAGCCAGTGGTCCACAAGTACTGGAAAGTTGGAAAGGCTTCAAATGTGGTCCAGCAACACTATGCAGATGTCATCAAAGGACCAGCCTAAAACAGTTTGGAGACCTATCACCAAAATACTGGCCACCAAAGGATGAATTCTTTTGTTTTGTTTTGTTTTTGTTTGTTTGTTTGTTTTATCACAGTGACTCATGAAGATAGCAGAGGACTGTGACTTTCCATTAGCTGAGGGAGTGCCCACTCTGACAAAATCATGGATCCCTGAAGTACCAAAATAATACTAAATTTGTAATTGGATTGGAAAAACCAAAACTTCAAATGGAGTGGGAATAAGTTAAAAGTGATAGTAATCCTAACTGAATCTGTCTGCTCTTCTCTGGGGAAAGTGACACCACATTATCAAAGGGATCCTTTCACTGCTGCCTTCTTTACGGCTTGAAGGATGATGACATCAGGACAGCTCTTTGTCCTACAATCTGGCTCTTCTTTCTACACTGGTAAGCATTTTTGCCAATAGAAGGAAAAATGAGATAGAAAACCCCATGAAGCCTTGGCAAGGCAACATTAGACAAAACCAAGGAAAAACGGTTACGCATGACAAGGAGATATAGCTGACTAATAAGATTTCTATAGTCTAAAACAAGTGTGCAATAATACTTCTGGTTAACCCTCAAACTGAAGTTCAGAACTGCAAGAAAGGTTCGATCTTGTTACTGCTGTCACACTTCTTAGGAAAGAGCACTGCCTGGTTTGTCCATTTTTGTTACAAATGCACTCAGAGTGAAAATCCATTAAGAGTTCAGTCAGAATAACATGAAATGCTAAGTGGCTCTTCCTTGACAAGTAGTTTCTTACCTTGCATGAAGAAGGAGCTAGGAAAAGTGCTGGCTGCTGGTTTTGAAGATGGATAACCTGGTGAGTCCCTATTGTAGTCGGCAGTGCTCGCTGACGGGGCATAAACCTAGAAAACAAGAACTAATTTAGTTTGTTTCCTGCTATGACTCAAGTATTACAAGGTATGCTATTGTGTAAGAAACAAGAAGTAGCAACGAAATGTTCCATTTTTTCCCTACTTGATGGCATTATATTTTTTCAACTACATGTAAAGGGTTTTCAACATGTATTTTTATAAAATTTTGAGTTCCAAATTTTTCTCCCTCTCTCTCATCCCCTGCCCCTCCCTCCCTAAGACAGTGAGCAATCTAACAGGTTATACATGTACAATCATGTTAAACATATTTCCACATGAGTCATGTTGTAAAAGAAGAATCGGAACAAAAGGGAAAAACCACGAGAAAGAAAAAAACAGAAAAAGTGAAACTAGTATGCTTAGATCTGCATTCAGATTTCATAGTTCCTTCTTTGGATTTGAATAGCATGTTCTATCATGAATCTTTTGGAATTGTCTTTGATCACTGTACTGGGGAGAAGAGCTAAGTCTATGCTGCTACTGTGTACAATACAATGTTCTCCTGGTTCTGTTCACTTCACTCATTATCAGTTCACGTAAGTTTTTCCAGGGTTTTCTGAAATCCATCTGCTCATCATTTCTTATAGCACAATAGTATTCCTTTACATTCATATACCACATCTTGTTCAGCCATTCCTCAATTTCCAATTCTGCACCACCAGAAAAGAGCTACTATAAATATTTTTGTACATGTGGGTCTTTCCCTCTTTTTATGATCTCTTTCTGATACAGACCTAGTGGTGGTATTGATGGATCAAAGGGTATGCATAGTTTTATAGTCCTTTAGACATAGTTCCAAATTGTTCCCCAGAATGGTTGGATTAGTTCACAATTCCACCAACAATGCATTAGTGTTCCAAATTTTCCCACATCTTCTCTGACATTTGTTATTTTCCTTTTTTGTCATATTAGCCAATCTGATAGGTGTGAGGTCGTACTTCAGAGTTGTTTTGATTTGCATTTCTCCAATCAATAGTGATTTAGAGCATTTTTTTTTCAGATGGCTACAGATAGCTTTAATTTATTCATCTGAAAACTGCCTGTTTATATCCTTTGACCATTTATCCAATGGGGAATGACTTGTATTCTTATAAATTTGAATCAATTCTCTATATATTTGAGAAATGAGGCCTTTATCAGAAACACTGGCTGTAAAAATTGTTTCCCACCTTTCTTCTTTCCTTCTAATATCTTGGTTGCATTGGTTTTGTTTGTGTAGAACCTTTTTAACTAAATATAATCAAAATTACCCATTTTGCATTTCATAATGTTCTCTATTTCTTGTTTGGTCAAAAATTCTAGATTTGACCGGTAAACACTATTCCTTGCTCTCCTAATCTGCTTACGGTAACACCCTTTATATCCGAATCATGTCCCCATTTTGACCTTATCTTGGTATACGGAGTGAGATGTTGGCCTATGCCTACTTTCTGCTATACTATTTTCCAGTTTTTGAAATGTTCCATTTCTGCCTTTTTTAGTTCTAAACCAGCTCGTAACATGAAACAATGATTCCTATGCAATACAAAGAGAAATAGAGGAAAAAAAATAAAGGCCTTGTATTTATGCGAAAAGAAAAAAAAAGTTTAAGGATTTAAAAAACAAGAACCAGGTATGATACTTCCCAGTCTAAGACAAGAATATCAATGAAGCTCTTGCCAATTCCTATACAACTACAGATGTTCTGTATAACATCTACAATGTGGTCTTGGGATGTTAGAAAACTAAAAATATCTAAGTGTTTATAATATAATACTTTTTATTGTTATTATTATTGTTATCATTATTGCTTAGAAGCAGAGAGTTCACATAAATGTTAAAGGAAAAAAATAAAAGCTATGGACTAAGCTCTGCATTTACTCTACCCTTCAAGCAAACTCTTTGTTCTCAAAAAGAAGGGGGCAGGGAAGGGAAACCTAGAGAACAACACTATCAAGACCACTGAAAATCATAAACATATCTTAGGATATTAAATTCTCATGGTGCGAGCTCTTTGCAGAGATGCATGAAAAGGGCCATTAAAAGTCTGGATCTACATAAGACCACCAACACACAATGCGTGCATCAGGGGGGAATCTCTTTTTCTTGTACTTATTATATTTGTGTGTGCAATAAACTTAACAAGTGTGCCAAAAAACTAATTTACTTACATTCGTTTACTAATACTCCAGAGGCTTTGGGTACTAGTTCTTTGTAAAAATAGCCTGTGTATTTTCTTGTTTATGTTTCAGCTAAACAGGACAGCATACTAGACAATCATGAACTCATAAGGTATGGTTTAACTTTAAATGTTTTTTTCTCCCTCCCCCTTTTCTTTCTTGCTAAATATAATTTTTTAAAAGTTCCCATTTTCTTTTGCTTAAAAAGTTCCTCTCTCCAGATGGTCTGGAGGACTGAAACACTGTCATCTTCTTGATGAAAATGGATACCTTCCTGCTCCATTTTGAAGCAAGCAGCAGATCACAAAATTGGCAGTGAGCCTATTCTGACATTCACAGGTCACAGTGAAAAGAAAGAGGAATCCACCAATAAAAGGCTTACTGCAGTATTACTAAGAAGCTTCTGTTCTTTTTTTCAGTACACATCTAATGAACCACCATAAAAAATGTATAGATTTATCTCAGAACATCATTAGCCACAAACCAAGCATTAATATGAGGTTTAGGATGTCAGAATGATGTCCCCATAGACAGATGCAGGAGAATATGCACACACAAAAATGCCGACCGATTGACATACATCAAATAAGAGATATGGATGCCTCATGTTGGCCTTAAAAATCGGGAGGTGTCAGGAATGTCATAAAAAAAACCCAGCATAGTTTTTAGGACAGAGCTTTTCAAAAGAAAAAAAGAAATGAGTTCTGTATTTTGCAGGATGTGAATTAGGTTTTTAGATTGTATGACATTATGCATAAACAGCCATTTGTTAAAGACCCAATTACTAATTCCACTGTGTCAAAGAAAAAGGAAAATCTTTTTGAAGAATAGTTATGAGCCAAAGAATAAAATCTAAAACCAGGAGATTCCCTATGCCCCTCCAAACAACTAAAATTAAAAAAATCAGAGCCCCACTGAAAATCCTGTCAAGTAAAACTAACAGTCATTTACTTGAGACTTCCTTGTAAGCAACTAATAAAAAATTCTTTTTTAGGCACAATTGTTTTTAGTGGAGTGCTTGATGCTAGCTTTAAAAACTGAAATAAACCATAGCTTTCTGGAAAAAAAAATAGAATTGAAAATGAAATTGTTTTGGTATTGAAAACTTGAACATAACTAATGTTATGAAATTAATAACAGTGATCTTCATTTACTGACAAAAAAGTCTGAGGTGCATTTAGTTTTTAGGTATGAATTCATCAAAAGGATGAGGCACTATCACATTTTGTGAAAGCTGGCAAATTCTCATCCAGACTATTTGATAATCTTATCCTTTAAAAGTGTGCAAAAAGTACATGCTATCAAAAATATTTTAAAAGGATTAGGGCCTTTTAGATAATATAGTTTACTTTGATGAAAGTTCCCTAAAATATACATAAAACATGCATACACATAATATTTTAGCTAAAACATCATCTGACAACATTTAAAATAGTTGCTTCCTTTTATTTTCTTTCAAGGTTATTTACTGCCACTTCCTCTGGGTGGAACGGGGAAGCCCATGGCTAACTGAAGTCATTTAAAAGTAGAAGTTACCTATTATCACTTATTTGTGAATTCCCTTTGAGAGAATAAGCTTGCTAAGACTAAAATCCATCGACATTCATCCACTCTATAAATGAGAGAATTACTATTGGTTGGGGAGGTTATTCACGTTATATACACTAATTTTTTCGGATGCTTTTGCCAAATTCAGATCTCACCATTTTTCACTGTGATGATAAAGTCAGAGAAAACATGGGACTTTCCAAATATTCTCAAAATGTCCTGTTTTCAATAGCACAGGCTCAGATTATCTACCTTCCATCTCTAAGTTGCAGCTTACCAATTTCAAAAGCTATCTACCCTAAACTGAAGTTAAGCCATGCCTGTAATGGTAAATATTTTAAAGAATGACAGAAAACTAGTTGATGTAGTCAACAGAGATTATCTAGTCCAAATTTCTTATTTTACAATCAGAGACACTGAAGGCCAGAAAGATAAAAGTGATTTCAGGGGCAGCTAGGTGGCAGAGTGAATAGAGCTCTGGCCTTGGAATCAGGAAGACCTGAGTTCAAATCCAGCCACAGACACTTAACACTTACTAGCTGTGTGATCCTGGGCAAGTCACTTAACCCTGACCGCCTCACAAAAAAAAAAGTGATATCTCTTAAAGTTGTGAGGCTACTTGGTGGCAAAGGCAGATGCCCAGATTCCAGCCTTATACTTCTAGGGAAACAGATTTTGACCGCTATGAAATGATGATGCACTGTTTCTTCCCTTGTGGGAATATGTGGCACAGAGAACTGGATAGAATTGTTGGACTTAAGAATCAGAGACATGTGTTCAAATATCATCACATCAGATATTTACTAGCTGTGTGCTCCTGAGCAAGTAAGTCACTTAACCACAGCCTGCCTCAGTTTCCTTATCTGTGAAAGGCAGATAACAATAGCACCTTCTGAATTAGGGTAAAGATTAAATGAGATAATGTATATAAATTCTTTGCAAAAGTAAAAGCATTATATAAATGTCAGGCATCATTATTAATAGGTTTAATAAAATTCATGTTCATGAAACCTAGAGCTGATAGGGTCCATCAGAAGCCAACTAGCCCAATCCCTTCATTTTACAAATAGGAAATCTTGGGCAATGCAAGTTGTTTTTCAAATGTGCCACACAGAGTTAATGGCAAAGGTAGGAATTCACCCCATCCTCTGATTCTAGAGTCAGTGCTCTTTCCATAATACCCAGACGCAAGATTTTTTAAAAGAGGTATAGGCAATGTAAAGGGGACAGAACCACAACACCCCTCAAATAGACCTTTAGTTATTACATTGTGCAAGCATTTTA